AATACAAAACCTAGTGGAAAAGATTTATAGGCAAAGCACCACATGGACATCTTTTTGCTTTTTTCTTCATAGACACTAATTTATCTCTTCCAAAGACTGAAACAGTTAAAGCCAATAGGAACAATGCAAGCAAATAGCTCAAAACATGAGTTTATTATGGCATACTACTAGCAAGACTGCTTTTTTAAAGTCATTGTTACATAGGGTCCTTAGTCTATGGTGAGAGCATATTATCACTCAGACATGTCTTGTTTCAAGCAAAAATGCTTCTAGAGCTATAGGAGCTACTGAGCTTCACTGAAGTTCTTTTCCATACACTAATTAGGTTACACATAATTTTTTTTAAAGGAAAGAATATAAGGTAATCAACAACACATCTAATAGAACCTCTCTTCTCCCAGGAGAGAAAGGATCTTACCAAAAGCTTTTCAATAGCATTATAAATCATTTGGCTCCTGTAGCTAAGCTGTTTTCAATATCAACTGTAGGAAATCCATCTTCAACAGTGATGAAACAGTTTTCCATAATAGTTTAGCATTAAGGATAACGCTGTCATCTGCCACTGAAACTATTAAACGTGTTACTGACTTCACAGCAAAACCAGTGGAATTGCAATATATGTCAGTCTCAGTAAAAGCTTTTCTGAAGTCTGCTGTGTGCATTTAGCTGTCAAAAAACTCGGGTGTTCTTCACAACGTTTAGCAAAAAGTACATACAATGTGCTCTGAATCCAGTTTTGGTAAGGGAATATGAGATCAATCTATTTTTCTTCCAAAAGAGTGAGGTGCCAGCTGAGCTTCCAAAGGACTTGGGTTAGCTTCCAGAAGACAAGAAAACTTCTCATCGTGTTTTGTTCTTTGAGCTGATACTCCAGGGGAAGGTAACCAACTACCTATTGTGCTTAGATGCGTTTTCTTTGGCTGTAGTAGTGGTTATTGCAGAGAGGGGACACACTTTCAGATGTGTCATTTCAGGCTGATTTGCTGGTGAAGAATTGTAAATATGGACTTGTAATCTGAGAAGTATAGAGGTCTGACTTAGCTTCTATACACACTTCATTCTTCTCAGAGGTTCAGATTAGAGCACTGAGTTTTCTGATACCTAGTGTGAACTCGTAGAGTGAGAAAACTTACAAGGATGTGTATTCCATTTCATATGTACTTCATTGAGCAGATTCAGTTTGCAAAAGCAGTTATTTCCTGGAAAAACTCTGGGGAGAGCAAATGGTGCCTGACATGGAGGAGAACATCAGAGATCTACCTCGGTGGAATGCGATTATTCACTAAGAGCTAGTAAATGTTAGTTGCTTTTTCAGCAAAGCAGAGAAATCTAGCTCTAGTTGCTCTCACACCTGAGAGCTGCCCTTGGATTTCCTCCCATCAGAACTGCCTGCCTTCCCTCCCTTTAGCATGGAAAGGCTCCCGGTCCACTGCTGCAGCCTAAGCCTTTGTGTGCTGAAAGAAAATATATTTACTGAACCAGAGGGAGAAAGAGATCCTGTTTCTGGGGATGTTTACTGGGGAAGAGAAAGCAGATCTTTACTGCAGTAAATCTGACAAGGTGAAGATAAGGAGAAGTATTGGTCATTACCAGTTCCATTTGAAAAAAGGAGTAGTTCACAAATTGCTTTGCTTGCTGCATCAACTCTATGACTGAGCTGTTATTTCTGCAGCCAGTGATAAGACCATGATGTTTTATCAGGCCTGTTAATGCAGTGGTGTCTCTTGTAAAGGAAAGACTTAAACAATAGGCATTTCATAGAAAATACAGCAGGATCTTAGAAAAACTTTGCTGGGTAAAGAATTTTATTCACATATTTTTATTAAGGCAAAAAAATCCTACCATAAAAATTAGCTTAAATTTTGGATAACTATAAGCAAAGAAATGTTACCAGCATTCACTTTTCTGGAGGAGCCATCCATATTGTTATTTGCAGAGCAGTTTTACATTCCATCAACTGGGATTTAATTGCTACTCTTTTTCTAATTCATTTTAATAACTTTAATTATAATTTCCTTCAATGGTCAGTGCTTTGGACACTTCATATAATTATAAGGAATTGCTATGTGATTTTGAATTAATGAATATTCATTGATCATGGGGATCTTAATATCTTTTATTATTAAAATGTTCCAACCAGAATAAAATTCAATGAAAGCCTGAACACAGAGTGCAGGACCCTGATTTTTTTTGGTGATTGAATAAATGAGAAGTTCATATTGTTTTTTCAGCTTCATATCTGTTTCAGGAAAGAGATGGACTGATCAGGGGTCTGTTGTGCTCAGTGAAATGGAAAACATGAAAACAGTGAAACAGATATTAATTAGAAGTGGGCTGAGCCACAATGAGACTACTTGAATTTTAAACATATTAAATTTTAGAGAAATGAATAGTTTTTATTCATCTTCTGGATTCAGATAAAGAGAGGGAGGACGAAGGAGAGTGAAGAATTCAAGCCTGAGTATGGATCAGTGGTACTTGGCAACGAGAGCTTGGCTCAGACCCCCTGTGTTTATTTCTGAATAGAAACAATAAGTGATGTTTCTCCAGTTGCACAACTGTTCTGCATCACTCTCCCGTGTGAACTGGGTTAGCACAACGCAGCTATATGTACTGAAGTGCACACAAATACACTCAAGAAAACTCCTGAGGTATCTTTAGTGCTGCTTTTCCTTTTGGTGCTATGAAGTGACCTAAACCTATCTTTAGAAAGAATGGCAAAGTAAGTCTTAATTAAAGTCTCTGAAAGTTGCTGTTTTTTTTTAAGTTTGTGGTTGGTGTTTTTTTTTAATTTTTTTTTTTTTTTTTTAATGTATGGGAGGTCAGGGGTGATGTATTACTTAGATTCCTTATCTTAATCACCGGCCTCGGGTATATCTCATGGCTATTGCATATTGTGTGGGTGAAGTTTTGTTTATATAAAATCCATAAATATGTAAAAAGTATCTAAATTTGTCAAACTGGAACAAGAAGAAGCAACAACACTGAAAACTGAGGTTCTCACAGATTCCTTCTTAGCATTTGGCCTTGGGTGTTCTGAAAATGGTGCTCATCAGGCTAACTGACAGAACTCAGGTTTGCCGAGCAGAGCTGAAGTTTTAATTTTGGAAATCATCATCTGGGTTTCAACCCCTTCTCTCTTAAAGTATAGAATCTTTTTACTGGTGGTTCTATGAAAGAATAACTGTTCTAATTGGTATAAATTGTGAATATAAATAAGTCTAAATTACCACTGTGACTTTACCTGGCTAATGCCTTTTGTAAATATGGAAGGTCTGCACTGTGAGAAAATGTTTATAAATCTGAGGCTGTTTCCCTGGGTAAATATTGAAGACTTTCTGATATATGTGTGTGTTAGAGTTTCATCAGTGGTTGTTTTTCAAGAGGTCAGAAGCTCAGCTAACTTTGTAACAGATTCTACAGATAACTTGTTAGCATTATGCTCATCTTCTGCTAAAGTTTATGGCTCTTTCATGTCATTCAGTAGCGACTTTTTCCAAGTCATAGTGGAATACCAACAAAACTAAATATGTCAGAAAGAAAGTTTGGCATGTACTGTGAAAGGGTGTGAGAACAAAGTTATGTTTTCTTGAGAACAAGTGTTCTGTTATGAAATGAAGATAAATAATGAGAACAAACATTGCATTAAAAAAAATGAGGATTTAATGAGCTGGAATTGTGGTCAGTCCAGGGAAAGCTTTCTCCCTCCCCCCACTTTTTTGTATTCCATTCATTGCTAGTAAATGACTATTTGAAAGCATTACCCAGATTTATATCTGACTTCTTGAAGCGTGTACCAAATTGGCATTTGTTAGATCACATACTGCACTTTGCTTAGAATAGATTTCAGGTTTGTGTGGAAATTTACAGCTCATTTCCAGCCAGAATGGTTGTTCTTTTTTTATAAAGCATTATGATTATAATTACAGACATGTATTTATAAACTCATGATCCACATTCTTTCTGATGAGCAAGGAGGTTAACATTCCGTTAATGGAAACTCAATTATATTAACTTTTCCCATTCCATTCTCAAGTGTATACCAGTTTGCTCACAAGAGTTTTCAGGCAGGATATCACCATTCCTGTATGGATTCTGCTTTCTGAGGCAGGGAGTACTGGACTTTTATGAGGATCTCCTTTTGTAATGCTTCCATGCCCATGCCTGCCTAGGAGTGTCCACCATTCAAGGTGAATTACTGCAATGCTCTATTGAAACTTGCTGCAATTCCGTTTTTGTTAGCAGCAAGCTGTCTTTATGCTATGGTTTAAAACAAAACCAGAGAAAATCAGTGTCCAGTTCTGGTATCTCTGAAATGTGGAGGAGATTAGTTTCAGAGGAGTCAGCTGGGGACTTTTCTTCACCTAGGGAGGAGTTTGGGCTGCAGCATAGAAGGAGGTTTCCTGTCTCTTTTGTTTGTTTAATCTCTACAGACTGATAGGAGGAGAGCCCTTTACAGCCATTCTCAACCAAGGGCTGTTAGCTCTCTGAAAAACATCTTGTGTTTCACAGAATCATAGGTTTAACGGGCAGATGGACAATTAGATTATTGAGTGCAACCTCCAGCTTAACACTGGCTATAGAAATTCATCCGGTTTCAGATCATCAGTCCCCTAAACAATAAAATGCTTGTTTTATGACTTGCAAAAGGAAACAAAACACACTTTGCTTTACTGGAAGCATCTGTGTGACTGGTTTATTTGTGAGACTGCTTTATGGAGCCCATTTGCACTTACCATCATCTCCCAGACACCAGCCTTCTTCTAGCTCATGATACTTTGGAAAAGCATAAACTTGGCATAAATCATCCTGGTCCACTGAAAAACCACCACTTTGGGCAGGCAGCTTTCTTTAATCTCAGCTGGTGAGAGTTTGGCTGTTACATGAAAACCTGTCAGTGAGAAGTTTCAGCTTGGAGTGAAGCAGATTTGCTACAAGCCTAGCTCTATGAGCAGAGGCTTGGGCACCCATGCACAGAAGCTGCGGGGCAGGCTGGCAACTGCAGTGCTTTTAGCACCCAGCTCTCCCTGCAGGAGACTACTAACAGTTGTTCACAACAGAAAGCATGTGCACAAAGTCTGAAAGTTTAACGCTAGGAGAAAGCTTTGAAGCTGTTAAGGAAGCAAGTGTGCTTCAGCCAAACCGACATCCTTTACTGAACTAACAAACCCTGTCTGCTACAAGTTAGAGCCTTAGCACAGGGGGAGAGCATGGTATAATTGCATACCACTAGTGGAAGAAATACTATCTCAGCATTGAAGCAAGCTGATAATTTTCTTTTTTCAGATAAATATGAATATTTCTGCCAAAGTAAGGCTTTTACTCATCATTCACGAATTTACAGTATCTTAGCAAAGGGACAGAATGTACTGCAGTGGCTGACAAGAAAATAGTTTCATAAATAACTCTCTTGACACACATAGGATGTTAACATTTTTTTGAGGTTTAGGCAGGGCTTGGAGCAGCAGAGAATTTATTTGCTTGTTTCAGTTTTAAGGCAACTGAGTGTTTTATTTTACCTCTCACCAGTGGGTAGAATGTTTCTGTTGGCTTCTTTGGTCTTTCATCCTTCCAGGCAAGCATTCCACAGTGACTGGTGTTTGGCTATAGGTGAGAGTTTCTAAAACCATGTATTGTTTAATTTCAGTAAGACAGATATTATTTGTTTGATAATGTAATTATTAAACAAGGGATATACCATGAGTTGTAATTAAGATTTACAGTTGTTCAGTATCTTTGTGCCATAAACCTATGTATAAAATATTTGCATAGAGGTCTACAATGAATGGAGTAAGAGTGTTCTTTGACAGAAGAAAAATGAGTCGGTCCCTGTGCTGAAAGACTTACCATATGAGAGGCATGGAGACAAAACACATTTCTAGTAGAAGATCTGGAATGAAATGTCAAGAAGATGCCTGTAGCAAAAGACTAATAAAACAAGGTATATGGGACTGAAGCAGCACCCTCAGTCAGACAAGAAACTGAAGGTTATCCAAGGACTCTATTTAAAAAAAGAAAATAGACAAGAAAAAAGAGCTGAAAGGATGGGATTACAAAGTGGCCAGGAATTTGTACAATACACACATATAGAGTGCAAAAGGAAGATACCAGTCATTGGTGAGTCCTTGGCGTTACAAAACTATTTTCATTCAGATGCTTACCTGACCTGCAGGCAGGAAGGTAAGGTAGAAGCCAGAAGGGCTATCTGAATTGTCTTGCAGATGTGCAGTCTGAATATCTCCCTGTGGCAGGATGACGCCCAAGTTGGGTTCCTGGGTGCAAGGAGGCAGTGTGGGGCTGGACTTGCTGCTCCCTAGACATCCAGGAGGAAAACCTGCATCTGTGGGAAGGAGGGGTGGCTACTGTGCATCTTGAGCTCCAGTGTGATGCTGGTGGTGAACTGAGTGAGAATTACTGACTTCTGTCTGACAAAATCAGCTTTCAGGGGAAAAATTATTTGCTTTTCAGGCAGTTTCTTAGTGGCAAAGCCACATTTTTTCATGTAGAGTAAATGCTTTTGGAGAAGAATTATTTGGTTTGTGAATATCCAAGAATATAATTTCCCTCAAGAACCAACTTTTTAATTGTTTCTACTAAAGCTTCAACAGACTTTCCAAGGCTTAGTGTTTTCCTTTCTTTACTTAACAATCAGATGAGACTTAGAATCCCTTCTAATCTGTTATTACACAAAGTGCCTATCAATGATCTCTGTGTTTTTCTTCAGGCCAGTGACTACACCTTTGTTCAAAGAAATGTGTAATGAATGCAGTTCAATGAAGCAGTAGTGACACATTCAGCAATGCCAGGGAAAACCCCACCTATTTGATAGTTTAGAAAGAAATAGCTGAACACCCATTGCACATCCAGTGCCCACAAGGTTCAGAGATTACGGGGAGGAAGTTGGCTTTAGATGGTGCCTCTGTACCCACAGGGGATGAGCACGGATATATGGCCACCCAAACCAGGTTTCCCTTTCCCCAGCAACTACCCTGCAGATAGCTGAAGGTACTATTCGTTTCATGGTGTTGTGCACTTCTCCCTTCACCATCCCTTGTGACTGTCTCCAGTGACACTTTCCTGCTCTTTTTTCCAGTCTTTGATTGGGGTTTTTGATTGCTTGGGAGGGGTTATTTGGTGTTGTTTTTTTGGTTTTGGTGTGTTGCTTTTGCTTCTTGGCTCAATTTATCTATTGTTATCTGGCTTTTAAGATAGTGCTGTTTTCTCCTCAGTTATTTTTAGGTTTGTTGTAGTCCGATTCAAAAGAGAGAATCTGTGTCTCTGTATTAGGAGCTTTCTCAGCTCCTTTTAACGACAGAATAGTGCATCTCGACAACTTTTGAATGACCATGTGATCATCCCAGGAGAACTGGAATAGAACAAAATGTCTTGGTGAAATGAGGTTTTTTGGAATTTGATCACCAGCTGCATACTGTAGATCACTGAGGGTGCATGTTCTTTAAGCTCCAAAAGTTAATTACGCTCATAAGAGTGGCTCTGCTTCCGACTGGAGGAATGAGTTCAGCTGACATTGCCTGTTTGGCCTGTTGTACTGCTGGTTTTACCAGAGGGAATGTTCATCAAAAGGCAAAGCATAGTTCAGGGACTGTGTAGTAAACAACAAAATTAAGAAACAGGAAATGAATTTACAAGTTAAAAAAAGATAAGACCACAATCCAGGAGCCAAAGGGAGAAAGCAATTTAAAAAAGAAGGAAAAAAAAGCATGTGCCTGTGTTCGCATTGTCTGTAAGTAACCAGGGTGTTTTAAGGGAATATGTTACACTTACTGAGCAACTGCAACCTTCCAGAGTGAAAGAGAAAGCATTGTCCAGTTGGAAAACGCAAAGAGCTGTTAACTATTTAACCACACAGTGATTATTAGAAGGAGCAGGAAAGAAGCTATTAACTACTTAAAACTCCAACCACACAGTAATTACTAGAAAGAGCAGGGAAACCTTTACTCAGATGCGTGATGTGCATGGTTCGGTACATGTCAGAACAGTGACAAGAAGTATTTATTCTGTCTAGTGTTGATGGGACAAAACCTCGCCAGCTCAATTCAAATAAAGCGTAAATTTAAATCTGTTTCTCCTCCTGTCCATGGATGCTGGTACAAGTAGCGGCAGTCTTCCTTGGGGCTACAGTCAGGCACAAGAGAGAGTCAAATTGTGAGCAGATGGAGCTTTTACACTACACTCTGCCCATCTCTCTGCATGTGATACTGTCCATCTATAATGAAGGTGATTCTGCCTGCTGCTTGCCCTGCCTGCAGGCTGCCAGGGAAGTCTCTGCAAGAGGAGGCCTTGTTCAGTGACCACTCTCTTGCTCCTTTTCCTTTGATCAGTATGTACAGAGAGCCCCTCTGCTGCATGGGTTTTCCACAGGGACAGCAACAGCTGCTCCTTTTCCAAAGGACTCCAGCAGAAGAGGGTTGACAGAGTTGCCTCATATTCTTCCAAAACACAGATAATGGCATCAGTCCCTGCAATTTATCTCTTGTTTGCATTTATCTATACATCCTGAGATTTGGTTTGTGCCATCTGTAAGTAAGTGGGGTCTTTGAGAACAGTAGCTGTTATTTATGAATCAATTTTTAGACCACACTGTTCATGATTTAATAGAAAGGCACCCTGACACAATTTGTCTCTGATGCGAATTGTATTAAGAATATATGGAAATAAGGATGTGTGTGTTGCACCTGAGCTAAAGACATGCTGATAGTGCTCCTGGGAAGAGTCTTTCTCTGCCTGTCCTGCTACTAATATTCCTTTCCTAAGCATCTGCTATGGATTGTTGTTAGGAGATGCTGAATGTGGTGGACTTTTGGACTTGCTCATTATGGCAGTCCTACTGGAGGTCATTTGCGTCCCTGTTACAGATCTGGTTTGTGGTCCTGGAGAGCATCTCAATAGCACAGTGAATGACAAGGCCTAAAAAGGACTGGTGGAAGAGGGGAGGGATAGAGTTAGAAGCTGAAATGGATGTTGAGGTGTATTGGCAGAGCTAGCCCTGAGATGGCTAGCACAGGGGTCTGGTTCAGAACCTCCACAGGGAAGTGTGTGGGCACTTGCCCACTGCCTTCCACACCGGTAAGTGCTGCCAACTACCGAGAAGCAAATCCTGACAAAAAAGGAACAAGACAAGAGATCTCCTCAAATCACCTTAAAAGAGCAGGATTAACAAAATGTTCATGAAATCTTACTATTTCTTCAGATAAATACTTAGGTTTCAGTGTTTATATTTAAAGTCATGAGGTCACCAATTATATGCAGTTCCAAGAACACATAACATATTTTCCAAACCGAATACCTTTTTTGGTATTGGCCTTCTAAAACCTTGACAACCACAATAACAACAATGTCATTCGAACTGAGTGACAGCTGGACATAGGGAGGAAGGGAGGGTCCTTTGGGGTGGAGGACTCTTAAAGATGAGTGGAATATTTTCCTGTCATTGGCATACAGCAGAGAGAGGATGGACTTCTGCAAATGAAAAACTTTAGAGAAACTGTCCTGAGCCTGTCTGCTTGTTTGTGCCACCTCCTGAATGCAGGGAAAAGTTCTATTTACAACATAAATTGGCTTATTTGAGTGATGCAAATTGCTTTGAAACTGCTGTGTGCTGTTTGCACATTGTGCAATAGCCTTTCACCAACCCTTTCAAGAGCTTACCATTTGGCACTTCAGCAAACACATCTTGTCTTGGAATTACCTAATGCCTTGTGAATACCATCAATACACAGAGGGTCACATTTTGCTTTGGGTGACTGTCAGAGTCACAATTCTATTAAGCAGCAGAGGGTAGCATGTAGTGTACTTTTGTACATTTATATGGGTGCACGTTTTCCTTTTTATAAATTCTAGGGAGCCAGGCAAGAAATTGCCAGTGATAAGGGTTAAGAGCTGAAGCCCTACTGTTCATGTTTACATACCATAAATAATAACAGGTTTCTTCCATGAGTTCCTATATTAAGCATAATAGCTTCTCTAAGTGCCTTGTAATGATAGAATAAAGGATATTCCTCTTGGCATGCTGACTACTCACATCTGCATTCAGTATGCCTAGGTAAGCCTCCTATGGGTATTCCTGCATTCCACAAGGAATGTAACTTAACTCTGTTGCTATGGCTGGATCAGTACTGGCATGTGGAAATGTCCTGGAAAGATTCTAGTGCCCTCATGTGAGACAATTTGTCCTGCCTCTTTGTCATTCTGCCCAGACATCCATCTGGACTGTGCCAGCTACTGTCTCTTAGTGAAAGACACCTGGAGTAGGGGGAATAGCTGCTGAACATGTAATAGAATGTAGTGGATTAAATGTAATAAATCCTGTGAATGCAAAGGAATCTTTTTATCTACTTTAAGTTGCAGCTCATAATTCAACTTGATATCTGTGGAAACAGTGATTTCAGTTTCAGTATGAAGTCCTATGCTGAACCCAAATTACTGTCTTGGCTGAAATGGATGGGATCTACACTTTGATTTAAAATCTTCACACCCCGCTTTTTCGTGTGTGTGCAAGAAATTGGCATTAACACAAAATCAGTATTTCTATTTGTAACTGAACAGAATTAAGCTGAAGTCTGAATGATCCCTCAGTCTGGCTG